AAGACTGGAAAATTCATTAGCCTATGGGAGATTGCAACTTCACATGTAAGATGCAGGGAAATTTTTTGCATTTCTATTGGACAAAAGTTGTATCTTATATACTGTAAAATGTGGAAAGTGAAGAATCTTTTTGAGAATTGTTTACAAAAAATCCTCTATCCAAAACTTTATAGAATGCTAAAAGTTAATTTAATAGGTTTATATAATTCATACTTTTTGTAATATAATTAACAAGTTTATAACATTTAATAGCATTTTCAAAAAGTTGAACTGTCACAATTTATAAATTATAAATTATTTTAACCAATCATTTATATATATGTTATGTTAAATTAAAGAGTAATATGTTTTGTTCAGCATTACATAGTTTCATTTGTAAACATATTAAAACTTGGCTTAAAATATCATCATCATCATCATCATCTTGAGATATTAAATAATAATTCTGTTAAATTGCTATAATTATTAATTGCTGTGAGACAAGTTCCATTCTAAACAATAAATATTTATCTTCTATACTAATATATTTTTAAAAATCTCAAACGAAAAATTGTTTGAAGATACATATAGAACAATTTCTTTACTTTCATTAACATAATTTAAATATTGGTGCAAGGTTACTGAAGTAATCATTTATAGAATATCAGAAGTTATTCTAAGATATTAAATATGTGATTTGGTAATTTAATCTTCCAACTGAGGAAATATAGACAACTTTGAATGGAGAACAATAAATGAAATTGCTCAATAATCTAGTTATTATAAGCTGAATGTTGTCACATTAAGAGAATATCTTCTATATATTGTAAGCATATCAAAGATTTAGTTGTTTAACTGAATGATAAAGTAACTTTTCTATATGCATATATAATGTAAGTTCAAAAACTGACATAAAATGTAATTGCCAGAAAAACTATTTTATTTTTGATGTAAAAGATTTAATAATTTTATTATTTATTCCTTCAAGATACAAACACATTCAGAAAACAGTAAATAGTAATTTTTTTTAACTTTAATCATTTATATTTCATCCAATGCTTCAAATAATGATAAAATTAGTATCAATTTATCTCTAATTTCAATGTAAAGATTTAAAAAATAATCATTTTGTAGATATTAGATGAATACAGAGATGTTATAATAGAATAATTTTTTTAACCAAAAATGATTGTCACAAATGATGGCTATGTGGAAAGACATTAAGTAAATCATAGAACATGAACCAATTATAAGACACATCTTTCATCCAAGATATCAAATATTATGCAAATCCTTTCACTCTCTGGAATGAATTCTTTGTGAATACTAATTTTGTTACTGAAAAAAAAACAGCATTGTATGATTTGTTACTGTAAAAATTTAAATTTTAACTTTAAGACCTTTTTATTCTACACTTTCACACACAAAAGCTCATTAAAAAAGGATCAGAATCTGTATTTCATCAAAGAGTTTATAGTGAAAAAAAAATCTGCATTATTCAACTGAAAAACAACATGATTTAAAGCTTTGCAAGTTTTTTCTTCTAAAAATCAACTGGCAACCTGTTAATGTTCACCTATTGTTAACTAATGATCTTTTGTAATTGACTGTCTTACCTCCTCAATGTTTCCTGACTTTCAAGCTATTGCTGGATATTATGACAACAAATTATTGTTGATTTAACTATTACTTTAAAAGGGAGCAAATCATTCAAACATTTTTGAATGAGAAAAATTTATCATTGATGTAAATGTGCTACAAGTCATGTTAAATTTTTTCCAAATTATAATGAAATTTGAACTTTATCCTTTATGTATTTTAAAAATGTTTTATAAATTCTAATATAAAACATATTATAAGATATTATTTATATATTGCTATTGCAAAAGCATAATATAAAAATGTATACATGATAAGTTTTTAAAAATATAATTTTTGTTTAACTTATTCTGAAAAGAAATGAATATTGGAATTTCATTGTCATATATAAATTTTACCTGAGTAATTTTAGTTACATCACTAAATAACAAATATTAATTATTATTTTAAATTTAATTGTTTAAGCTGCTATTTTCTTTTATTTTAATCTCTCCTGAGAAGCATAAAATTATATATATATATATATACATACATATTACAATATTACACATGATTACATACTGTCATTTCTAAAAACTTGTTCTGATCTTTACAGAATTTAATACTCTAAATGTCCATTGCAAATATTCTGAATTACAAATGAAAGTTTATAGATGTCAAACTTAACTGCTCATTTTCTTACATTTTCATTGCTCAAAAATGGTGAAAGGTAAAGATTTAAAAGAGGGTGATTATGCTAACTGAATCAACATAACCAGTTAAGCATAAAAAAAACTTGACTTACATCTTCAGCAGTTAAAAAATTAATATATAGCATTATATTATTATTTCAATAATGGTAATAGTAATAATGTTTAAGATAACTGTTAAAAATATAAGTGGAAAATATTAGCTTTTAATTCAAATGTAAGTTAAAAATAGACTAAAATATATTTGCAATAAATAAAGAAATTTAAGTATATTATATTATTTAGTTTTTTGTTTTATTTCTCAAATTGTCATAAAAGATTTATTTTCATTTGAACTATTCTGTAGTTAAAAGAATAAGCTTAAACATATAGTTACTAAATATAATTAATATAAATAAAGCTAACACTGATTATTATTGCTGTTAAAAGTGATTCATATTAGTACTTTTACAAGTGATTTAAAGTACATTAAATAGCTTTTTTAGCCAATTTATCCTTGAGAGAGAGAGAGAAGTGTGTGTGTGTGTGTGTGTGTGTGTGTGTTTGTAAATTATTAAAAGTTATGAAAATTTACATAAGCAAAACTATTATGACAGAAAAAATAAAAATAAAAAATTATATTCAATAACTTAAAATATTTCCTGTTTTACTTTCTGAAAATATTGTAAACAAACTGGTCTAAAACTGCAATAATCAAATGAAAGTTGTATACTGTATATAAAATTTATACAATTTACAACATTTTTGCATTGACATACCAAGTGTTCTCGTTTACTAAAAGATAGATTTAATTCCAACTAATGAAAATGTTATTTATACATGTTAATGTTTTCAAGCTTGAAGGCAATGATCAACAATATAATTATAAAATGAAATATCTTAAGAACTATAAAAGAAACATGATGATGGTTGAAATTTAATAATACAGTACAACTATTATATGTCATGACATAGATAATTATAAAAATTATGTATGTCATGACATATAATAATAAATATTTTTCAATATGATCAATGATAATAAAATGCTGATCAATATCTTGTTTATCTCTATATACATCTTTGATACATTTATAGATTAACTGATAATAAATGAATAAAATTTTATACTTATTTTATCATTGGGCAATCCTATTTAAACAATAGTGTAATAATATTTTAAAATCCATTCTCTTATTTTTAATTGAAAACTTAAAATTGTATTTAGCATGTTTGATTTTTAAACAAAAATTACTAAAACTATAATATTGCTTATTTCTCAATTATAATTATTACAACAAACTGATTGTTCATAATAACTGGTATCTGCAGAAGTGTAAAATATAATCCAATGTATTATTTATTATGCAAAACTAGCAATACCTTCTAATTGATAAATTTCACCCCATTGTATTTTTCTGCCCACTTTATAAACACAATATTACGACAATTGCTTACATAATATTTCCAATCATACATTCTCAATATGATTAATGTAATTAATTTATGGGTATTGTAGAATAGCAAAATATTTTTCTAACAACATGATTAACTTTTCAGGATTTTTTGTCCAAAATTAAATCATTAATATATTAAAATGTTTACATTTACATTTTATATCAATAGAAATCTGCTTGTTATATAAATTAATAACAGTAATTTTAATTTACTGTTTAATTTTAGTTTTATCTGAATAAATACATAAGATCTTTACTACTTCGAAATATTTAAGAAATTGTTAATTTCCATTAAAAAATCAGATTTTATTTATATACATTTTTGTTAATAAAATTTAAAACATTTTAATTACATTATTTAGATAAATTAAATCATAATTAGTAATAAAAGCATTCAAATTATAAGTAACTTTAACTTACATTCTTTCTAAGCTATAATTTAATTTTGAAAAATAAACCACAACCTTAAATTTGATATTAAAGAATTTCTGATGATCTATTAACTAGGCTTTTAACATTTGAATTTGAAATTATATCACTAAAGTGATTATTTATTCTCTGTAATTTAATATTGTTTTTAATATTTTAATTTATATTTATATAAAATCAAAATCTGTTAAAGTCAAACGACTGCCGAAATGTTTTTGTATAATCATATAAACATATTTACAATTTTTGTTTAATGCAAGTATATATATATAAATGTGCTTAAAATAAAATTTTATAAAATTAAACATTTAAATTATTATTTATTACATACATAAATTTAAAACAACAAACAATACTTAATTTAAATGGAAATGTGTAGAATCAGAGAATGACACATATATCTAGTCACTATATCAGGATTAAAGCTATAACATTATTATTCAATTTATAGAAATTGTGGAATAATCTGTCAGCAATGACTATGTTTACTATTTTCAGACTTTTCATGAAATGTATTAGTTTTTTTTTGTTCAAATTATATAAATAACAATATAAGTTTACATAGTTCAAATGCATAATCAGTACAAAGTGTTAAATTTTAAAAACATTTTCATGTTATTAAAATGTTGTATAATGAGTGACTGTAATATATAAATAGTATAAATCAATTAAATAGCTGTTAATGTTAAATGTTCTATTAAGAATAGCTAATGTGTTATTGTAAATGTTATCAAAATACTTTAAATTCAAAATTTATTAAAATTAAAATTTCTGTTATAATGAATAAAATATATCATTATAAATAAGTATTCAGTTTCTATTTAAATCACTTTTATACTGCATAAATAAAACTTTATGCTTTTCTTACCATTTTCCCAAACAAGACAAAACTCTAATGTTCCAGCATCACCAACAGTTAAATCAAGATTTACAGGGATTCCTGGTTCTTCTTGTTTCTCTAATCGAAATTCAGGACCTAAGCAAATCATACAAACATCTGTAAATGAGCTTTGAATGTAAATAAGCCATCCTTATGGCTCTAATGAAAATTAGCAAATTGCTGCAATTTATCCTTGGGATAATAAGTAATATCAATTTGTGATAATCTAAATTTACAAATATATTATTAATTAAAAAGTTCTTTACATATATCAATTATTATTCATTAATATCACACAAATTGATGAATAACGTTTTATATAACTAATTAAAAAAAAAAAAAAAAATTAAAACCAACTGAAAGAAAATGTTTATAATTAAATATTATTGAAAAACAATTTATTTCATCTGTTTTTAATCTTTACAGTTGATTCAAAATTTTTAAAAACACGAAAGAAAAAAAACGCCAGTTAGCTCCAATATAAAAAAATTTAGTTTGTTAACTCTCTTTAAAAATAAAAATTTATTAATGTGCTATTTTGATAGTAAAACATTAAAATTAATAAATTTTAATTGCTATCATTTTTGTTAAGTAAAAATTATATTGTAATAATTACAAATTAAATTTCTTTTTAGATATTTTTGGGAAAAAACTAATTTTATTTATTTAAGTAAATGATAAAGTCGAGTTGTTACAAAATTTATTATTATTATTATTAAGAGTTTATTTCAGATTCAAATTTCAAAATTTGTCATTTAATAACAATAATTGTGACTATTTTCTGCATTTTAGAAGTTTAAACGAAAATAGTTATAAATATCTAAAAGGTAATTAAAACTGTAATTATTGCAATATATATATATTTTTTATTCAACAAAGTAATAGTAAATAAAATGGAAAAATTACATTTTTTTTTTATTTGAAGCTAATTATTATTTTTTAAAGAGTTTTAAATTTAATTACTAAAGAAAGATGTAATAATTATTCTTTTAAACTTTATTCATTAAAAAATTTTCTATAATTGATTTTAATTCTTTTTTGATTACATATAAATTCTTCAAAGAACATAAAAAGTTTTTATATACATAAAACTAAATGAAGAAATCATTTTATCTTTTTCATTTTGTTTCTTATGAAAGTTCAGAGAAATTTCTTTTAAGTAGAAATTATTATTATTGCAAAATACATTTATTACATTTTAATGTAAATGTTTTTACTGAATATAGCTTAAATTAAATTACAAGTAATTAAATAATATTTACTAACTAATATATCAGTTTATTAAAAAATAAATAAATATTAAATTTAGCTATAATTTTATCAAGATAATTAAACATCAAGTTAAATGGAATACAAATTAAACTTTTGATCTCATTTTCTATAAATTTCTTATTCAATTATAATTTCTTATATTATATACAAATTTAACAAATTTTAAAAATTGAGTTTATGTTGTTTATTTTTTGATTTGTTATCAAGAAAATAAATAAGTAAAAACCTACATACACACATTTAAGTTATATATATATATAATTTATAATTATAAAAAATATTCATATATGTGTAACAAAATTTTCATGATAGTCAATAATGATAAATATAGATATATTTATTATAACCATCATGAAACATACAGACCAGGGATTTCCAAAGTGGGTGCTACCACTCACTTGAGGGCAGTATAAGAAACAAGGTGTGCTGGAAGACAGGGGAGATAAAAATTAAGTTTAAAACCAAAAAAAAAAAAAGTTAGTCCAAAAAGTTTAAGAAACACCAATATAGACAAGACATTGTATGTATACAGTACATATCTTCTGTATGTATGTGTAAATCATGTTTATACATACATACATTCGTGTAAGGAAAAAAACAGGGCAAGGATCCACAACATAAGCTTCAGTTTACTCCACACGCACGCACACATATATATATGTGTGTGGAGTAACACACAATACTAATACACTGTATATCCTAATGTTTAAATTGTCAAAAGCAGAAAGATTATAAATAATAAATTAATTACATAAATATTGCTATTTTAAAATAATAAATATTTAATAGAAATATATATATATATTTCTAAATAAGAAATAATGTAAAAATTTCATATTTTTTAATTATAATACTGCTTTACAAATAGCTACTTCAACAAAAGTATTATAAAAAAAAAATAATAAAATATATTTGAACATTTCATTTTATTAAAATAACATATTGTAATTATCTATTTACATTTAAATAAAATAAATGGTTTATTTTATTTTTGTCATAAACAAATACATTTAAAATATAAACAAACAAAAAAAAAGAAAAAAAGTAAATTATCATTTACTTAAATTTATCATCAAGCAAATAGGATTTTTTCATATTTATTAAAAAAAAGTTAAATTAAATTTTCTTCAATGTAAACAAATTTGAATTTAACAAAATAAGTAAAATTTATCAATATGCATTATAAAATAATTAAATGAGTGAATGAATCTGCTCTTAGAAAGAAAGACAAACAAATTACTTTGCTTAATTTATCTGAAAACTGTTTTTACTACCTTTGAATTTTGCCATTCCTTTTCTGTGTCTCAATGTCTGTTCTAAAACTTCTCTTAATGTTACATTTAAATCAGGAAGTTGAATCTTTGAAAAACCATCTGCAATATTTCTATTTATATAATTGAAAAAAACTAATTAGCAATATTCTGAATACTGATTAATTAATACCTTAATTATCATTGTATTAGTTAAAACAATTAAAATGAAAAATAATTTATATTAAGAATATTTAATTAAAAAAATGCATTAATTACTTTAATTTGTCTAAAAAATTTCTTCATTAAAAAAATAATAGTTTTTTTTAAATTTTTTTTCGTTCTAATAATAAAAATTAAAATTCGGATTACTTCATTAAAATAAATTTTAATTATTCTACTAATTAATTAATAATTATTAAAAATAAAAATATTACACAGTAACCACAGGTCTTCCGTCTGCTTCTTTTTCTTTCTCTACCAGTGCTAGAACGGGAAAGCCAAATTTGGCAACTGGCTCCTTTGGATTCAGACTGGGAAAGTCTTCATCGACGTCGCCATTCTCCTCGGCTATTCTCAAACAGTAATGCGCTACGCTCGGCCTGATTTTATTAAAATTTATTTAGTAATTTCATAATTATAACTGAAAAAAATGCTTGAGTTATTTCTATTCCTATTTAGTTAATATTTGCAAAAATCAGATTAAAATTTTTTTTATTAAATATTAGAAGATAAATATGTCAATTAAATTTCTATTTCAATTTTAAAACAATATTTAGATTTACTTCAGATTCTAATTATTATTTGTCCAAAAAAGATTAAAAATAATGACATACATAGAGACGGAAAAAAAAAGAGTACCAATCTCTTCTTTTATAAACAATTTCAATTTAATTTCATTGCTCTAAATTAAATTTTACTAATCAAAATAACGGCAATCAATAAACTAACTTTAATTTTGGTTCCCTTCCTTCATTAGTGTATTGCCAACAGATCAGTCCAATTAAGTCTTGGACTCTAGCACTCGTCAATGTAATAACTTCCATGGGATAAGCTCTGACATCTGGTGGTAACATCATCAAAAATATAACAATCCTTTTGGTCTGTGCATCTTCACTGATCTAGGAGGGGGAAAAGAAATAATGAAAGTACTGTATTAATGCTCACAAAATTTCAATAAATATTTATATATAAATGAAGAAAATTGCATTACATATAATTTTGATTAATAAAAATAATTAATTTTTATTTCTTTTAAATTTACCTTTCCATCAAATCTTGCATATTCGTTAAAAGGATTATTTGGAATTTGCGGAAATTTTTCAAGTTGATCAGAAAGCGAACTCCTGACTTTATCTGGTTTCTTCTGAGTCGTTAAATCTTTTCTGGGAAACAGCTGCACAAGCTCTTCTGCTGCACAAACAACATAACTGAGTTAGAAGCAACTTTCAGTTTCTTCTGTATGAAAACAGAATATCATTCAGTGGCAACGTTGTCTATCTGACACAGCAGTTAACTCATTCCTAATTACCGTCATCACATCTGATTAAAATTCAGAATATGTGTACAATTACAAGGAAGATGCTTCCTCTCAAATATTCCCTCACATTGGCTGAATTATTGTAATGAGTGGATGACCAACCATAATTTCTGATGAATGGAATTTACGTTTTCATGTTTGTTGGAACACGAATATTTTAGTAACAGCAAAATTAGATTAAAGATACCGTAATAATGAACTTTGTCATTTTTACGGAGATATACGACATGATTATTTACGACTGGGATTGCCACCCGATAACGCAGGTTAGTGTTTTAAGGATGTCCATAAAGCTATAATGTTCGGCCATGTCATCATTGTAATCTAATTATCCTAGTGTGATGAAAGGAAAACTTCTGAATGAACATCTTGATTGGACAAGTAATTAACCTGATGTGATATCGACAAAAGATATCAGGTAATGATAGTTTTATCTTAGCAAGAAAAACTTCCTTCTGTTGGATGAAAAGGAATATCTATTTTTAATTACATCGCATCAAAGATGTTAACAAAAATAAATGGATAATATTAAATGTGTTTCAAATAATTGCCTTTTTCACTTTAATAATATAAAAAAAAAATAAAAACAAAATTAAAAAATTTAATATCATTTTAATAATTTAAAAACTTTTAGCTCAAGACACATTTTAAAACTTTTTAAGTTAGCATTAAAAAAAAAAAAACTTTAATCATAAATATCAACATTAATGTCACTTTAATATTTTAATTAAATAAAATAAATTCTATCATTATTATTTTTAAATTGGTTTTTTTAAGAGTCGGTCATAGGAACAAGATCTAATTATACAATAATGGTTTTGGCTAATAATCTAAATTTTAATCATCATTTATTTTTTTTTTATGGGAGTAAATTTAAATATAAAGAATTTATATCTTAATGAAAATTTATATTTAAAACAAAATTGTTTCATTAATTAGCAAATTTTAATTATATTTGCGGATGGCAGTTTGTTTTCCTGTCATTTTCCGTACCACCGCCTCTAATGCAAAATGCCAATGCGTCTGGCGGCATTGGTATCTATCGTGTGAGATTTTTGTGAAATGACAGATGGCACTTCTATCAGACTTCTCCACCCACAGTAAATATGTTGTGAGAAGTGAACTAACAACTTAAATTGATGATTCTGAAACCTGCTATTTTCGATTGAACAATTTAATTTAGAATGAACCATTTAATTTTAATTTAGTATTAATTAACAAAAACTCTTCAAATTTTCTGCTCTTATACATGTATAAACAAATTAATTTTAATTGATATATAATATATTCTAATATGAAGAAGTAATTAAGCATATTTTATTAATGGATAATTTTTAAATTTAAATTCTCATATATATCGCATGCATGATTACTTTTAATTTATTGTGAATTTATTAAAATATTACTTATATATATTTAATTCAAAAATATTTAAATTTTGAAGATTACTCACAGCTTATATTTGAAGTATTTTCTTTCCATTGAATATTTTTAATTTTTCCTTGATTTTTTCTTTCCTTTTTTAATCTTTCCAGTCTCTGTGCAGTGTTTGATCTACATCTGTGCGCTCCGATTAAAGCCATGTCGGATACGATGTCGTAAGACTGGCCCACTTCCAGTAAATCAGATTCAATGGCATTGTCATAGTAGTCTAAGATGTTACTTAAATTCTCATCCTGCTGGACCCTGATGGCCTTGTCATTCACGACTTCGTTCATCATTACCATCTCACACATTCCCGTGTCATCTGATATTATGTAAGAATGACGAATATGAGAAAGTAAGTATTTTCTATCGTCGAAGAATGCCATGGTTGGGCAAGTTATCGTCAAAATTCCTGCATTAATAAAAATAAAGGATTTATCGAACCTTTCTCCTGATAATATTTTAATTAGAATACTAAACTTTCTGAAACTTTTTGTGAAAAACAGACCCGCTGACAGCAGTCCAGAATGATTAGTTTGAAAATTTCCTTTTACATAACACCGAGAAAACCAAATTTGATTAACCATATGAAAAGACCAATTTAGTTTTTCTTTGATAAAAATAATTTGAGATCAATGTAAGCATTAAATAATTAAGAACAAATCAGTATTGCTTTAAGGCTTTATAATGAATTCACTTTATTTACTTTGCCAAAGTAACTAAATATACTTGTATTTTGTTTGAATAGTTCAATTGAAATTACTCAGAAGACGTAAATTACTGAGAAACGTAGGAAAAATTCTTCACTACAGGGAATTTAGCAACAATTAGAAAAAAACCATACAACACTCTTTCACAGAATTCAGTATGTATTCATCGTTACAAAGAGTTTTATTTTACAATAGCCATTTTCCGTATCCAGATTCTACTTAGATAATGAGCTTAAATCATTTCCTATTCAACTTCTAACAATGACAACTCATTAACTTTCATTCAGCTAATGTAATAACGGGACTAATTATATGGATTTAATTGTTTACTCGGGAATTCTCCTAATAAAGTTTTCTAATGATGCGAACAGAAATGCAACGACTACAAATGTAGATCAGCCTTTTCTGTTATAACACTGGTATTTACATTCTGTATTCTTTTTCTGTAAGTAAATTACCAAATAGATGTGTGATAAAACCTTTAGGTTTGCTGTGGGAATGTTAATTCAGCTCTAAAGTTTATCATCAAACTTGTTAATTATGATTAACGAAAGTAATACATTTACAGGCAAAAATTAGCCATTTTGTCCTTCTTAATAAAAATGCAGCTTTCCTTAATGAATAATATATCAAAAATTTTATTTTAAAAATATTTTAAAACTTTCAACAATGTTATCCACTAAATTAAGTTTAGTATCTCGATAACAAGCCAGATGCATAATTTTTACTTATGGAAAACTTCTTAAATTCCAAAATGGTTTAAAATATATTTTAAATAAGAATATAAGTTAACAGTAGACCAAGCTTAAATAAGATATATTTTTTATAATCCCGAATTTTAAAATTATGTAGAAAAATTACATCGCTTTTAACTGTTATATATTATGCAAATTTAAAAAATTACACACATTAATATGGAAAATAAGATTTTAAAATTAATTTCTGACTCGTGCAAAATATCAACAGTATCAATAATTTCTTAATTGCTCCGTAGTTTATCTCGGAAAGATGCTCCGACATCCGAAAAAAATATAAATCAATGGAGACGTAGCATAGATGCAGTTGCACCGAGTATTAAAACTAACTTAACGTGTCTGCAGCATTTAATATTTATTCATACAAATAACGGATTCCGGACTTATAACTAGACAGTGGAGTAAATCCGTCTGACAAAAATTCATACCGAAGTTAGATAGGCGGTATTAGAAGCCTAAGTTAGTGAAACTCCATCTCCTAATACCATTACAGCATGCTAGTAGCTAGTCCGGAAGGATTATAACGAATTTGACCCCGGCAGAAAATGAGGTCTACCAAACGAAGATGGAGGGGGGAAGCGGATACTCTCCTCTGCCTCCCCCCACCCAACACGAATGTAATAACTCCAGCAGCAGCGGTATTAGTGACAGAAGGAGAAGGTGATAACGCACCGGCTGAAAATTCCCGCTAATTAACGTTTATGCAGTCGAGTGAATATGATGAGTTATAAGACTTCTAAACTCTTGTGACCCAGTATTCTGCTGGAAGGATCTTAAATTAAAAACTACAGCGACGATACTTCCGACTTTAAGAAACGAATAAAAACGGGCGACGGTAATATTTTTTTGAGTATCAATAAAGGGGGATGATCGATACATCGGAGACGTTTATCATTCCGATAAATTGCTAACGCGACTCGCTAGCTTTAACAATAGTCTTACGATGACGATATGAAAATTTCTCTTTTGCCAAGAAACCTTAGCCGATAACACAATTACTGCAGATTATTATTATAATTGATGTGGTGCCAGATAATTTCTACACAACTTTTCCATTATGAGTCGTGACAATGGTGGCGGCAGAGAGAGCGAAAGGGGAAAACGTGCGTCGGGGGTGACGAGTGGAACGGGAAAAGCGACGACTCGAAACTTTTTAATATGCTAAACTCTTATAGCTTTGCCATTACTTCTCCTCCCCCAGACATACACTTCAGTGTCACTCGTCGACGAATTTAAATACCGGTTGCCCGGGCAACCAACTGCTAGGAAGAAGGGACTGCAGGAGGGGAGACGTTTTTAGGAGTCGTTGCTGATAATCTACTGCGCATTTAAGCCAATGTTTTAAAGAGGTAAGTTTTATATCTTGCCGAGCTGTTGCTATTTTATTTACGGTGCTAAGTTAAGAGCGTTTAATTTTCTCTTGATGGTAATAAACTTTTTTAGAGCCATCTGAATAGAAAGAGGACAAAAAAGAGAAAAAGAGCGAAGGGGGAGAAAACGGTTGACAGACAGACAAGTTCACGCAGACGTTATTGAAGCTATCACGGCTTTCTAGAGAGCCACCGTGTTTTCGAAAGTGGTGTGTGCGCCACGTGCTAGCAGAGAAGCAGCTGCTCAACAGATGTCACTCGTGCTGCTACACTGGCAGTGCTCCCCGTCAAACTTTGATATACAGTACTTGGATATATTTTCTACGATTTTTCCAAACAAATCGACTGTTTCTCTCACTCCCGCACACCCCCTCTTTGCATTTCCATAAACTGCAAGGAAAATATTTTAAAAAAAGACACAAAAAATGTTTAAAATGCATCGTCGGACAGAGAAAGTGCGCTCCTTCTTTTCGGCTCGTACAAGTCGAATTTTAAATCGAAAAAAGTGATTAAATAGTTTTTAAAGGAACCGCAATAAAAATAATCCTATTGAAAGCAATAGATTGATAAATGGACAACGTATTTGTCAACTTTTTATGCATCCGGATGACATATTGACTCGAAATTCTCCCTATAAAAACTAAAGTTTGAGGAGGAGGAGAAGGGGCATAAAAAAGCTCATTTTATCTATAGACTTGACATAAAGCAGACTAGCGATTCCTACAAAAGAGATAAGGTTAATTTTTAAATAAACGACAAATACACAGTGACATAACTCCGGCGAGTGACGTTTATGACAAAATAAACGATTGCAACAATGAAGCGAAATTACTTAGCAAAATGACAACGTATGCAAAAATTGTATTCTTTCACCAGAAGTAAACCTCCGCCATCCGCTACGCATTACCAAATTAATAACAATAAAAAAATCAACATTAATTTTTTTTATCCTTTTTAAAACTGCTGGCTTATGATAGTATTGAAAAAAGTGGCGACCAGTTAAAACTGCCCAGTCCGTTCCCCATAATGATCATCCAGTGCAGATTAGCGAAGTCTTTTGAGTATGTAAAACGAGTACAAATGTACGGGAAGAAAATCCAACTGATTTGCAGGTAATTGGATCTGTCGTAAAGGTGGTATTAACTTGATTACCCGGATTACAGTTATGCAAATGGCAATTTCTATGATGCGGCCTATACGCGCGCTTAAGTTTTGTTAATGAACGCAACAGCCGTCTTTAATCAGGAAATATGACTTATTTATCCGTTTCCAAAATTTAATTTATGCGAGATAAACCCTTGAAAACTAAAATTCGAACCGTAAAATCACCAGAGAAAAGGAATTTTTATTTAATTAAAAACTACACCGTCCTAACGGGAGGATGTATATACACAAGCGCCGTGTTTAAGCAGAATAAGATTATAATTTATTATTAACAGTCAAACGTATCAATCACAGTCGTTCCTTTAAATATATTTTAATTCATTTATAGTCGTGATAAAAAAAAGATAGTCATATTTATAAACATACATTTCTGTAAGAAGAGCATACTACTCCACTACAGAAGATTAATGTTTGACAGATTCCTGTTGCTAGAAGCTAAGTAGCTTTCTCATTGACAGATGACTCCGAAGCTCTGTTTAGGGCTCAGCAACAAAAGGCAAAGGAATTTCCACAATGATAAATACCTCTCTGTCAATGGCTGTACAATCAGCATGCCAAGTTTCGTGGAAAGAAAGGCTTCCTTTTCTGTTAGTTTTTTCAACACTTTGCAGAAAAGAAAAACTTTCGGCACCAATGCCGAGTTCTGTCTACACACACAACGAACTACGTGCTTTTAAGAAAATTAGAAATATAGCTTTGGCTATTCGTTCAGTAAACACCTCGATCACTCGGATGTGATAAGAATATGTCAGATAAGGAAGGAAGGAAGGAAGGAAGGAAGAAAAGGAAGGGGGAAAAAAAGATGGAGAACAAGAGACAAAGGATATTTATGTCCGTCTTGTCTACGAATATGCCTTTACCATCTATAAGCCACCGCGCCCGATTCTTCTATGAAAAACTGCTGATGAAAGTGGATAGGCTGATGTATCAACCTTTTTAATTCCGTGATGCAGGCGGCCCGGTCCTTGAAATAAATTCTAAAAGGGTTTCCAGTAATTAATAGATTGTTAAAATTATTATAATTGCCGCTATTACTTCATATCAGCGACCATCTCCAATTTATATTGAAAAATATTCGATAATGCCGGAAGGGGGAAAAAAAGCAATTTTTGTCTCATGAAAGATGCGTTTTGATACCTATATATAAAACTGTAATATCAAAATAATTAAAGTAATTTAAAGAATGTCTTGTTACAGTCTGCTTTTAAATTGCTTTACCGTTGTCATTCTTTATCTAGATTACTTTCCCTTCTAGCCATCATTCTAATAGCCTCTGCTTTATTTTTCTTCTCTAGCTATTTATATAAAACATTCAATGTTAATCAGTTATCAGCTGGGATTTTTTTTATTCACAAGCATCTTGGAATTACTTCGTTTATAGTAATTTTATTACTAACTTTATTATCTTTTTTT